TGCTGATTGACGGGCCAGACACGGAGGGAGGTCTTGTTGGGTCGTCCCAGCTTCTTGCTCTCCCCAAGGAGGCCCTTCTCCTCTCGCTCTTGAGCCACACAAAATTATTTGTTGATGGCAGCGCGAACCACACGATAACGGTTTTCAAGGAGCTTACCATGTTATGAAACAAACGCAAGGCGGACATGGCATATCGCTCTCGGGCCCACAGACATCCCGCACACCCGCCGCCCCCCGCGGGCGCGCGCCCCACCCCGGCCGGGAGAAAGGGGAGTGACAGCTTGGGATGGCAACAGAACGAGTATCTTGCACTCCATGACCATGTGCAAGAACGCAGAGAGAAATGAAAGCCGTCCGGCTCACAAGTCCGGCTCACGCGCCCCAATCTCCCCCCCTCTCCCGCACTGAACACGTTCGCCCCATCGCTCCCAACCCATCCACCTCGCCTCGGGCCGCGCCGCGCGATCTCGGGCGATCTCGCGCTATCTCGGGCGATCTCGGGCGATCTCGCGCTATCTCGGGCGATCTCGGGCGATCTCGCGCTATCTCGGGCGATCTCGGAGCGTCGCTCGCGCGGCGGCACACCTGCTCAAAAAAGGAAGGGCCCGGTTGGAGCCACGGGGCTCACGTGCTCGCTCGGCGTTGGCTGTGCCACTTTTGTCAACCTTCTGTCTCGAAACGGCGTCTTCAAGCTGTCCTCTTCGCTGAGCGCACAGCCGTGACATACGGTCGCTCAGCCCGGTGCCATACGGTCTGCTTGCGAGCGTGTTCTGCTCCTGGCAGCCCAATGGCCGGTTCTTCCACGGAGATCTTGGAGAGCAACTCGTCTCCGGACCCCGCGATCTTCGGCGATGCCCTGCTGCGCGACATGGCCAAGCTCTGGATCCGGACGCTCGACGGGAGGAGCGGCCAGCGCCGCCGGCCCTCGCCAGCACTGCTAGCCGCCGCCCGCCAGTGGCAGACGTCTCAGGAGCAGCAGCGGCGGCGGCGGCAGCAGCAGCAGCAGCAGCAGTGCCGGCCGGCGCCGGACCCGGCCGCTCCGCCGCCTGCGCATGCCGAGAACCCACGCTGCTGGCACAAGTGCTCGCTCGGCGGGGAGATCCGAGTGCTCGCTCTCTCTACCGAGGCGGGCTTCGCCGAGGTGCACGCGGCGGCCTGCGCCAAGTTTGGCGTCAGCGAGGACTGGCGACTGCTCTGCCGCGACGCCGCCGACGCCGCCGACGAGCGCGGGGCTGACCCTCCGCTCATCACGCTCCTCCTGAGTGACGACGACCTTGCCTATGCAAGGCACCGGCAGCCGTCCCTCTTCTTCGAGCTGGCGCCGCCGCGCGATTCGCTCTGCTCGCTGGTCGACGTGAGCCGCATGAGCCGCGCTAGCTCGAGCGCGCTCGACACCAGCTCCCTCGGCCTGTCCACACTCGACGAGGACGCGCGCACGCCCTCCGCCTCTGGCGCGCCATCCGCGCTCAGCCCGACGCCGCTCCTGGGCGCGGCCGACCTCGAGAATGACGAATCTCTCGTCACGGCCTTCTCCGCGCTGCTCCAGCGCGCGCTCTCGCAGGCCGTGGAGACGATGCCGCCACCGGCCGTGCCCCCACCCGCGCCGCCGCCGCCGCCGCTGGCACCGCCGCCGCTGCCGCCGCCGCCGCCACCGCCGCCACCGCCGCCGCCCGCTATCGAGGCTCCCATTGCCGCCGCTGTCGCCTTGCCAAGGCCCCAGTCGCCCCCTGCCCCGCCGCCACCGCCGCGGCCTCTTGCTGCGCGTGATGCCCCGGCGCGAAGGTCGACCGGGCCTCTGTATATCGGTGCGGCAGCGCCAGAGGCGCCGACGCGCAAGGTCCGGCAGCCCAAGGTGGTTCAGGGTGGGATCGAGGCTGCCTTTCGCAAACGGCAGAACCTGCGGCTGCGTGACGCGCGCGATCGCGTGATCGAGCTTTTGCGGTGCGGCGCCGACCGCGCAGGGCTGTCAGTGGCCGGGCGAGATCGGACGCGGCGGTGCGAATAGGCGAGCCAACCTGGAGCCGCTTGGCAGCTCGGACGCGCTCGTAGCCCTCTTTCGCGACGTATCCGGCGAGCTCGCGGCGCTTGGCCTCGCGCTGGGCGCTTCCGAGGCGTGGGCAGACCGGCTCTACATCGAGGACCGGCGGGGCGCGTTGCCCGCTCGAGCGTCATCTACCGCACCTCGTCATTCTACCGCTATTCACACCTCTCCCCTGCCTCCAGGGGCGCTGCTCTTCTCGGAGGAGGAGCTTGATGAGGCGGAGGCGGCACAGTCACGGCTCGAGGCAATGTACAACGTCGACGCGTGGTCATCGCAGCTCAAAGGTGCCTCCCCCCCATCCCTTTCTTGCCAACCTCCCCACCTTGATGAGAGCAGCGCACTCTCACCGGGAGGCGTCCTGAAATGGACTACTCGCGGTGCGCAGGGCGTCTCTCGTCGGCCGAGCTGTTGCTACAAGAGACTGCGCCGGACTCGCCGCGCGAAGGCAGGTCGACTCCACGAGGCAGCCGCGGCGGCTCCGGCGCCGCTCGTGGCGGAGGGACCATGACGAGTGAGGAGCGAGTCAAGCGCGCCCTCAAGCGTCTCGAAGAGGATGTGCCGTACCACGTCGCCCTCTTTGCCGAGCCCGTCTCCCTTCGCACGTTGGACGGCATCGACGCGATGGGGCAGCCCGCCCCAAATAATAAAT